GACATGGGATGTTTAGTATCCCGAAGGCCTACATGTAGGACATCCACGTGGCCAGTAATCATTAACGTATTTGACTGAATATATTCAAGTTACCGCCTCGATGCAAGGATGCATTTAGGTTACTGAATCCTGTTAGAAACACCGTGAAATACGTATATGAGTCACTGTTTAAAGCCCAGATTTGTCGAATAAGATAGGTCGTCTTGTCCTACGTGGGCATGTGCGTGCCTCCATGTTTGTATTGTGATTAGTGAAGGGTAGTGTCCTTCACTTTACAGGCCTAGTTGAGTAACAAGTTAATTATTGGTAAGTCGCCTTGGGTTAAATTAGGTTGAAATGAAAGACCAGGTGTTACGAGGTGGAGCGCTGAGTCTCCACCGTACATAGATGTTTTAGTGACTGGTCAGCGTGGGTGTGTGTTGGCTGTTGAGCTGCCCGCGGCTGCTGCAGTCTTATAGCTAATTAACGCCATGCTGAGTCACTTAAACTACACTCCAGGTCTAACATAATAAAAGAGAGAGATTGAGTAGGAGTCTATTAAAAGATTGGAGTTAAATTAGTCATACGATTACAGTTGTATGAACTGTATATGTTTGGCATACAAGTATATCTACATATGTTTGGCATACAAGTATACCTACATATGTTTGGCATACAAGTATACCTACATATGTTACAAGCTTCGCCTGGGAATTACCCACTCACTTATTTCTACGTCTTTCACCCCCCCCCCTCCTTTCCCGTAAGTCTTAGGAAAAACGGGGAATTCAAAGTTCCCCACAACGAGCAGTGGAGCACTGCAGGTGTCCTACAACTAATCTTGGGAGCACTGCTGAAAGCCTACTAGATATTACATCTCGCGAGAATGTAGGACCATTTTTAGACTGATTTAGCTAAACTGAAATCTCCTTTAGCGTTTTTACCACAAAAAAATATACTCTGCACAAGATGTGTTAATGTAGTAATCAGTAAACCTCCTGCAGTACTCCACAGCCAGCTGGCTACGCTGTGATTTCGTACGTCTCCTCTCCGACTACTCTCCTGCTCACACCTGATCTCATACAAATCTAAATATTGATTATTATCAATTTCCTTTATTGACGTCATTAAATATGCTGTACAGGCGATATATTGTTTTGCTTTGCATCTACTTGTTGTACTCCATAATTCTCCGACATCGGTAAGAATGGTATTCACTGAAGTGGAAAAGTGTGATTCCTAGTTTTAACTATCATCACAGAATATATTGTTTTCTAAAGCAGTGAAAAAATGGGAAAAATGAGAATGGAGATTAATAACACTTGGTGTTGCGCAGAGTTAAGTTTATCTTAACCACCAGGATAAAGGAATAAATAATATTGGACACCAAGGAGATTTAGCACGAATTGTAATTTTACGTTGTGGCCGAAAACGTGCCAGATGCAATTCATGTAGAAAGGTATAAGGACAATACAGTTCTTGGACTCAGGTTTTAATCATAATCTGTTGCTCTGTACACTTGGCTGCCTGATATTCTCAGGTCAAGTCGGGCGTGTAGCTGCTAGGTAAGAGTTCTCTCGCCTTCACCTCGCCAGGTTTGTGGGATATTTTCTCTACATGAGCTTCATCCTTATTAGTTATCCACGATGCATGTTTTGACAATTTCTTATTTCTTGTAAACTAATTAAAAGAGAATAGTCAGAGTGAGAGCGAGAGGAACACAAGAACATGAAGGATAAGCTGACCCGTAGATTAAAATTTGGATTTTTAATTATATCATATTAAGAGCTATGATCTAGCACATTTTAGAAAAGATAAATGTTTTGTAAGTTTCACATAATCAACTAATTATATTCCATGATTGCCAGTGAAATTAACCTTCCTAAAAAACGGTTAATGTCTGTCTCGTATTGAGACTACAGATCTGGTTTCGTCTGAGTTTGTATTTTATTAGTGTTTGATTTGCTTGAGCTGAAGCTTCTGAACCTTTTGAGGGTGTTGATGCATATCTCTTGTGCCTCAAAAAGATAATAATGACCTATAGCCTCTGAACTTTTTAAGGGTGTTACTATACAGGCGTTGAAATAATGCTTTTGTGGCCTGAAGGAGATATTCTCCAACACGCTTCTTTGAAAGGCTGAATTAGTTCATGTTCTACTGAGAAAGTTGAGCTTCTACTATTTTGCTTTTTGACGGTTGTTAGGTACAGATACAATGCCTCTTGCATCCCTTTGATGTACACTGATATAAGTACTAGGTATATAAAATACCTGTGAGGTGAAGAACATGTGCAACGCTTAAATCATTTTCTTAAGGAAAGATTTCGCTAGCTGGGTGCTTAGAATTGACAAAGCCCAAATTGTTCGGAACATTTCCTTAATTAAATGTCCTAAGTAAGGTACAGGGGGCTGGGGTTATGTGATACAGTCCTCCCTACAAGTTCGCGTGTTTCCGTGTTCGCTGGTTATAATTATTCAAAGATTTTTATCAGATGGGGTAACTAATAAATATCTTCCAGTTATCCAATGGCTGAAACCTTGTTTTTTATTCTTGTCAGTATTTCTTATGACAGTCAACATTACTCGGATTAAATATATTACATAAACATCGTCTCTGATAAACATACGAACTCAAATGTGAAACACAATCTGTTGTGTTAACTTGAGTGTGTTCATCGATACCATGCCTAACCCTTCTAGGGTAGGGTAGGTGCCTGAGCCCGAGCCTTTAGCTCATAAGACTGTCATTCCCATTTGCCCCCTTGTGGCGGGGAATGGCAGACCAGAGAGGCCTAGCTTGTGGCTAGGCCTGGGGGACAGTTGGTCCCCAAAGATGAGGAGGTACTTGTGCCTCCTCCCATGGGAGACTTAGGTCTCAGACACTCCCTAAAGAGGGAGCCAAGGCCGGGCCACCACTTGGAAAAGGCCCGAGCCGGGAGAATACCGGCTAATCTTTAATAATAATAATTGAGTGTGTTAGTCGTGATTTCTAGTTTTACTGGACCTATAGGAAAGTAATAAGATACTTTTCTTTAACAGTACAATGACCGAAAGGGTGTCTTTTTCATTCTGTTTATTGAACAGACAGCAACAGAATATAGCCTACACATTAATCACGACTTGAATTACCGAGATATGTTGTGGGTCCAACAACTACATCACATTAACAATCGTACAGTTGAAATTTGAATTGTCAATAAAAGCCTCAGAAACATTTTTTAGTCAACGGGTGAAATTATTATATAAACTCATTGAGAAGAAGTTGCTATAAGCAAATAACAAAGAGAGAATAGTTGAAGTATGTAACTCACCTTTCTTGCACATCACCGATACATTCCAGCCAGAGTCGGTACACTCAACCTGGTATTCCTGGGCGCCTCCAGGTAGGAGGTAGCCAGAGAGGCAGGTGGCAGTTACTGTAGATCCCACGGGATATATGCCGGTGCTATTCCAGTCGGTGTTGGCTTGCTGAAGGTTCGGTTTCCTATCACACACTGTTGCACAGTATATTACTTAGTGGTAATTCATAATGGCAGAGAAGGGAAGATATGAATCATCTTACACTAGTACATTGATAAATAAGAGAAATTTTAATGACAATAAATGAAAGAAGGGAAAAACGTTTTCGAGTCATGAAAATAATTCTTTAATGTTTAATTAGAGCAGTATTAGAAAATCAAATAATTAGCAATTAAATAAGCTTTGTGCATCTACCA